CATGCCACTGCCTGGGCAGTGCTGCAGAGCTGGGGGGTCTGATACTCCCCCAAAGCACCCCCCTTTGGAGAGACCCCATTGGGTTAATGTGGGCAGTGCCTGGCCAAGTGACAGGGTCCTTTTGGAAGGGCTCCAAAGCCCTGGCAGAGCCTGGCAAGGGCGAAGGTGGAGGGGTTAGTGGCCTCCTCTATGTGCTTGTTTCCTTCTTTTTGTATCAGAGTCTCCCCATCACTGTGATCACCCCAAAACTGCCACCCCTTTTGGACATCCATCCCAGAGGGCTCACTCTTTCCCTCTCTCCCATCACGTGCCATGAAACCCCTGGAACTTCTTCTCCAGTGGTGCCAGGGGAGAAGCCCAACTCCACCGATGCTGCCTTCTGAGTGAGCAATAATTCCCCTGAGTGCTGCCCTCGTCCCACCGGACGCTGCACCGGCTGCTCTCACCCGGTTTCTCCTCCCTGTTGAGGCTTTTCTCCCTCTGATCTTTATTGGCATTTTTTTTTCCTTGGAATGGCTCATGTCGGGAGGAGCAGAGCAGTTAACACAGTTCTCGGGGGTCTGAGTGATGGGGAGGCTTAAAAAAACAGCTGAAGGTGATGGGAAGGGCTGGAGAACTGCGTTTTGATGGGGATTTTGCTTAATATTTAGTGTGTCTGCGTGCGCAGGGGCTCGGATGGGCTGTTTTGGGGGGGAATGATGAGCTCGGCGTGGGAATCCCACCACAAGGCACACGCTGCACGCTCGCCTGGTGCAGCAGGAAAGGGGCCAGCACGGCTCTTGGGAGACGTCGGCGCTCGGCCGGCCGTGAAAACCGTAACGAAATCACACAATGAGCTTTTTTTCCTTCCCCTTCCTCGGAGGCAGCGCCGCAGCCAGCCTGGGCTCTGCGCGCAGCCGTGCGTTGCCTGCGTGGGCACCCGGGGGGGACGCGATGCGCCTGAGCTCCGGAGGGAGGGATCGCATCGTCCCCGCGTCGCCCGCATCGGCTGCTCCCCGGCGTGCCGGCCACGCCGGACCCAGCCTCGTCGGATGCCGCTGACCCGCCGGCGAGCGAAGGTGCGCCGAGGCTCCTGGGGGCAGGTAAAATGGAAGGGAGGGAGGGAGGGCCACGAGCGGGGGACACCAGCCCCGTTGTGACCCCGAGCGAGGACAGGCCTCGGTGTGGCAGCACGGGGTCCCCCCCCCGCTGGGGTTTAATCCATCCTCTTGCCCCATTCATGCTGGGAGGTGATAACCCGCTTTCTCGTGGCCCAACCGCTGAGGCATCGCCGTCCTCTTTTTAAACAACCCATCAGTGGGGTGAATTCATCCTCCTCGGGAAGGATGGAGAGTCCCTGGGTGCCCCGCAGTGTCCCCGGGCTCCACCAGCAAAAGGTTTTGGCCGCGCTGCCGTGCCGGCTGTGTTTTGAACCATAAATCCGACAGTGGAGGCTGGAGGCACCAACTCCCACAGGAATGGGGGGGCTGAGTGTGTTCGGGGAAGGGGAAACCCCTCCCGTGCCTTTCAGGGAGCTCATTTCCAAAATACAGCCCAGCTCCTGGGATCCCTAGGTGACATTTTGCTGGGTGAAAATGGGCACTGCAGGATAAAGAGCTGCATTTCAGGGCTCCCTGGGGATGCGTGTGCGTGGCGGGAGGGGGGTGAAAGCCGTGCTGCTGGCAGGCATTAAAGGAGAAGCCGCTGCTCGGCACAAAAGCCGGTCTTACGCAGCGCAGGTCTATTCAAGAGACATTTAATTCTCTTCTAAAGTCCAGGCGAACGGGGAGCTGCCATCTGGTGTCTGATGGCAGCAGGAAGAAAGGGCTCTTTGCAAAGCGGGGGCAAGTTGGGAGCTTGCTGGGCTTCAGATTGTCTTGAAACGGCTCCGTTATTAAGGCTGAGCGAGCTGGCTTTGTAAAGTGACCCGTGTGGGTTAATGCTGGCTTTGGCAAGGTGAAGGGTCCTGCCTGCGGCTGCCTGACCTGGCCTGGCGGGCAGCAGAGCCCCGATGGCGGAGCTGGGAGATGAGCTGCAGCTGTGGAAAAGACCCAGGGGAGGACCAAGGGTGTTCACATCACCTGCTAAAAATCCTGCATCGGGGGATAGGAGCCCGGCTGCAGGCTCTCCCTCTGCTCTCCGCTCTCCCTGCCTTGGTGCAGAGCTGGGTGCTGGTTCTGGCATGCGCCGAGTGTGTGCGGTCTCTGCTCTGCCTGCGCGAGCACAGGTCTCAGCTCACAGCCTCCCTGGTATTTGGAGAGTTATTTTTATTAAGTTGCAGGGGTTGTAACTTCTCCGCCAGCAAAGCGGCCGGGCAGCACCTGCAGTCGGGGTAGGAGGGCTGTGCTTTGGCAAGGACGCCGCTCAAGCCTCGATAAAACGGGGAGCGTGTCCTCGCTGCCAGCGCCAGGAGCAGGGCAGAGCAGCAGCGGGGACCAGCAAACCCAGTGTGGGGGAGTTTCAGCTGCCCGGAGTCCCAGGGCTTGTTTAAACAAGGTTTGTGCGTTGCGATATTTGTGGGGTGCTGGGGGAGGTGTGGAACCTCCAGACGGAGGGTGGTTGGAAGGATCCAGCGCTGGACTGGTCTGTGTCCCTCAGCTGTGACCTTTCCGCCGGGGTGTTCTCACTGCGGGAGAGACGCGGGGAACAAGACTGACCAGTTCCCCAGGAGGAAACAGGCCGTTCCCTTACGGCACAGGGAGTTTTCCTTGGCAGAAACAGAGCTTTGCCCACGGTGCCTTTGCGGAGCTCTGCCAGGCTGGCTCGGCGCCCACCAGGGTTCTTCTCGCCGGTGAAGGGGTGCTCTGCCAGGACGGACCCATGGGCGCAGCGGTGGCGGGAGGCTGCGTGCTGCCCCCGGAGGGGTGCCGCTGGCCGGAGCCATGGTGCAAGCGGCGTGTCCGAGTCAGCCCCCGCGGTCGGGCTGCACGGTGGGAGATGCAGACCCTGGGGGACTGCAGGGATCTGGATGCGTTTTAGCACAGGGTGGATGAGACAAACATGGATCTTGTGGAAGGCTGCAGCATGGAAAAGTGCCAGCGCTGAGAAATGGCACTTTGCCCTGTCCCTCCAGCAGCAATAACTCCCCATTTCCCCCCCCCCCCGACTCTGCCTCAGGGCTGCGTCTTCTCCAGGAGAAGATTTGGTGGGAGGAGGTAGCAGTGCACCGTCCCATTTCCCGCAGGTTAGGAAGGATGTGTCCCCTGACACGGCTGGGACGTGGACATGCAGGACGTGTTTAACTCCCCTCTGCTGCAGAGCAAGGCCAAGATGCTGCCCACGTGCTGCTGGAGCATCTCTCGCCCCTCGTGCAGCTCCTCCTGCTCCGCGCAGCAGCGGGGACGGGGATGCACGGCTGGAGAGCTTGGCAGAGCTCATGGCTGTGACAGCATGTGGCAGCCCCAAAGGAGCAGAGCTGTCCCCTCTGGGCTGCCAAGCTGAGTTCTGCAAGAACATTTAATTGTGTTTATTCCCCTTTCCCCGGAGCAGCATCTCTAGCGGGAGGATGCAAATAGGCTGAGTGGCCCCGGGGACTCTCGGAGCCCTGGTGCTGAGTGTCTGGGTGCCCTCCCAGCACCCAGGGAGCGGAGGGATGGGAGGGATGTGTTCCCGTAGCTACGACAAGACAGCCAGAAGTTTCTTTGTTTTGATTACAATTTTTAGTCGCCCCTGACAGCTCCAGGCTGGAGAACTGTCTCCACGCAGGATGCAGATGCCAGCACTGTCATTATGCAGGATGCTGCCCACAGCCTGAGCTGATAAGGAGGATTAGTTTGTCGTCCAGCTCTGGGGACGGGGCAGGCAGGGGGTTGCCGGGGGCCAAGCCACGCAGCTGGGGAGAGAGGAGAGCTGAGCCACAGACTGGCTGAATCCTGCTCCCCCCTGGGATTTCCACCGCAGCAAACTGGGATTGGATCCCCCTCCCCAGGTGTGAGTTGCTGAGGTGCTGCAGCGTGCCTGAACTCAGCACCCAGCACACCTGTAAAAAAACCCCATGAGGAGCATCCATGCAGGGTTGAGGGATGCTGGGAGAAAGCATCTCATCCTCAAATCCCTGGAAAATGGAGGTTTGCCAGGCTGGGGGAGAGCATCATGCCCTGAGTGCACTGCTCACCCCAGCGCTGGCAGTGGCAGGTTAGCACTGGGGGTCCCCAAAAGCTGCACCGTGTCCTTTATCACTGTTGTTCTCCGGTCTCAGTCCCGTGAGTGCCAGTTCAGCATCACTTGGT